CAACACCACAAAAAACATGCCCACATTTTCAGTGACCAACGGAACCCCATAAAAAACCTCTTAAATAACTATGTAAGTCTACGAGACTAGACTGCGTGGGTTATCGGACGGGACTACATAAACCTATATATATATCATATAATCCATGTCTATTACAATCACTGACATAGTATTAGTAAAGCAACATTACAGTGTTCATAAGCCTGTGGTAATAAGGCTATGTATAAGTGTTGCTGTGAGCCTAAATGTCACTTCCACATGATTAATATTAAGCAATCCACTCGATTAAAAAAATAAAAAAAAACAAAAACAACATATATAACTACAAAGATAAATATAATAATTCAAACGAGAGTAATAAAGATGAAACACAATGTACCCATTAATGCATTTAAGGATAGGAAAGTCTCGTCTATCATTCAGTAAACAAAGACACGTAGGGTGGGGTTGTTCTAGGCTGATAAAGTTCAATGTTGCATGTCAGATTTGTGTAAAAATATAGCATTTAATTAACTATGGGTGAAAATTCAAGCACTCCTCACAGAAAACGAAGAAAAGGGAAAACTGATATAAATTTAATATTTTTTTATTTATAAATTTCCTTTTTTTTCTGTATGATTGAACTCCAATATTCTGAACTATTACGTTATGTCAATTAACGAAAAACACCATGCCGTGATCTTTTTTTTTGCCTCGATGTAAACAAAATTCACACGATATTCTTTTCAATATCTATTAGGCCTATTACTCCAAAATCATACATCAATTTCTACAAGTAACAATTTCATACAGCATCCCTCTCTATTCAAGGAATGCTTGTATTTTCGCCCTCCATAATATGCCTTGAAGTAAAAAGAAACAGGGAAAAGAGAATTAGAATACCGCCTTCTTAATACCTATATGTGTATATATTAAGTATATACACGGATATATCAATCACATGTTTTATAACAAACATGTGCAATGTTTTTATTATATGTTTTGGGTTTTCACATTAAAAATATATGTACCATTCATAACGATACAAAGCTCAAAAATAAAATAAAAAATATATGTAATCAACTGTGAAGGATACAGCATATAAAAAAAAATGAAAAGCATATCTGTCCAACACAATAAAAAAAAATGTGAATCCATTTTAGATAGTGATTGTGTATGCTGTGTTATCTGATACAATATTTTTTTAAAATTATTATTTCAAGTGGATCTCATCTCCAAATATTACACTATCACCGGAGATATGAAGTTAAATTCATCTTGGATGCTTCTAGAACTAGTATAGTTATTATTTCATCTTCTTGTTTATGCAACCAACCGATACATTAACTCTTAACTATTTATACATATATATACATACAAACGCGTTCCTAGATCCTATACATCGAAATTTGTGTATGCTGATACACCATTCCTGACAACTTTATGATCGTAAATTTATATGTACCAATCCCTCTTATACAAAGTAGTGTATTTATATAAAAAAATACTTTATATACATTCATTCAAGACTGTATAAGAGTTGTAAAAGAAGATGGCTGAATTTCTCTAGGTTTGTAAGTCATGTTAAAAAGGGTTATAAAACTAGGGCATTGGATTAAATTCATAAGTACTATGGTTCTATGTTCCCTTCTGATAAAATTCTAGTCTTGTATTGTAATATTAGATTTTAATAAAGTAATACCTAATAAGGAACATCTACCTCTTAGAAGATAATAAAAAAAATTAAACTTACTTCCACTCCCCATATAAAATATCCTTTATGAATACATGTGAAACATTGTTTAATATTTTTTCCTATTAAAGTCAAGCTCAAGTATAAAAAATGAGGTTACATAAAAAAATAAATGAAAAAGATATTCATATAAACCGAATAAGTACTGAATCCAATTGGGACATTCTACACATTGAATCCAACCCTATAAAACAGCATCCGAAACAAGGGAGGGTCGCGCGCTTATGTCCCGTTACTAGCTACCGTCACGCCGTTAATCGTGACGACGGATGGCTGGCGAGCTGCACCCGGTCTAGCTGTGGGCGGGACCGTGGGCGGCTGTGGGGGAGGCATGCGAGGGCGGGACAGGATGTGGGCGGGCGGGCGAGCCGTGGAAGCCATCATGCCGTTCGTGTAAGTAGGTTGGTGGCCGTTCGCGTAAGTGTGGTTGGTGACTCCCGTGGGGGCTGTGTAGGGGCCGGACATGTCGGTGTATTCGTCGATGTCGTCGGGGATGTTTTCGTAGATGTTGTTGCCTGGGGGGGAGGGGGAGAGGGAGATAATTAAATTAAAATATACCATTTTTTAAAATTCCATTACTCGTTTTGAAAAAATACACATTTTATCTATATATTCGCCTTGAAAGTATATTCTTCTCTATCAATTCACTTTCTATCACTTTATTGCCAGTGCAAAATGCAAATCTGAACCTTCACACCCAATAAACACAAACCGCAAGCGTTTCTGAGTAAATAATCTACACAATGCCATATCCCATGGGACTCATCCTGAATATTCATCAAATTAATTCATCACGAAATCTGAGTTACCTGTCGTAGGATCGCTGAGGTTGGCGTAACGCATCGCTTCGGCGTTAGGGTCATCCTTCGGCTTCATGTGCGCGGGAGGGTCCTGCTTCGCCGCCTTCTGCTGGCGCCTGCTGAGGGAGAGTTTGAAGAGGGGAAGGGGGCGAGGGTGGAAGGGAGAGGAGAAAGTGAGGAAGGGAGAAAGAAAAAGAAAAGAATTAATGTCAGAATAATTCAATACGTGATAACAGATACCTAAGGATACGAGACATAGGTACTAACACATTACTGTTATTGAGGATCGTTAGAAAACAACATACCTCAAGAGTTGGGTGTCTGGGAACGCACTTCCAGCGGCTTGTAAAGACAGCAATATATGGTATGCAAATTTATAATATTAAAGCCACAAATAAAACAGTGGTAACAAAAAATAGAAATCTCACTTCATTCACTCACTATTTACCAAAGCCTCCCATGACACACTAATAGAAATAACATGTAAGAAAAAAAAGGAATCAAGGTAGCATGAATGAAAATGACTACCTCATTTCACTCATTCACTTTTACTACATTATAATTATGTTTATAATTTAGTTTTATTGAGACAGGGTGTGTTTATTTTTGCCTCTAAATTACCCTCTATGTGTAAGGAATGGCCCGGGTTACATCCACCAGCAGTGCGAGATTTGAACGAGGGTTAGCAAGATTGCAATGCCACATCCTACCCACACCACCCACACCACACTCACGTTCTCAAAAAGATGAAGAGAACAGCCACGATGACCACGCCGATGAGACCGAAGGCGAGACCGACGTACAGACCGGTGTTCGAAGCTTCCTCGAGACTTCCTGGAGATGTCCCTCTTGCGGAGTTCGTCGTCCCGTCCACTGTGTTGTCTCCCAGGACGCCGTAGTCTTCGGTGTCCACTGCGGGGACGAGAAGGGAAGTTGAGAGAGGAGAGGTAAGGAGGGAAAGGGAGGGAAAGGGAGGGAAAGGGAGGGAAAGGGAGGGAAAGGGAGGGAGGGGCGATGGGAGAGAGAGGGAAAGGGAGGAAGGGGTTGGGAGAGGAGGGAGGGGCGATGGGAGAGAGAGGGAAAGGGAGGAAGGGGTTGGGAGAGGAGGGAGGGGCGATGGGAGAGAGAGGGAAAGGGAGGGTGAGGGGTGGGGAGGTACAAAGAGGGGTACAAGAAGAGAGATGGAGGGGGAGAGGAGGGAAAAGGGTGGGAGGGAGGGTAGTAGGAAAGGGATGGAGGGAAGGAGACAAAGTGAAAGTAGATAGAAAGAGTGAGAAATGAAGAAATGGAAATGATAAAACAAGAGGACAGGAAACGCGATAAAACAGATATTATGCAATGACAAACAATCAAACATCAACGATAAAGGAAATAACATTAAACATTACCAAGAAAAAAACTCACACTCAATACAAATAACGGTTCAAACAAAGACTTACAGAGACATCTAGGTACATCTCCGGACCATGAACCCTTCGTGGTACAGGTCCGCATGAAAGGACCATCGAGACGGTACTTGGGTAGGCAATGGTACTCCACAACAGAACCATACAATAGCGTTTCATTCAGACGCACAATACGCCCGTTTTCTATGTCTTCTGGCATCGTACAGGACACCCCTAAGTAAAAAGAAATGTTAGCGTTATTTTTATTATTTTTCTGGATTTTAAATGTGTTATGTAGTTAATATTTTTACTTGTTCTTAGCAATCATTTCGTCTAAAAGTAAGTGTGCTACCGTCCTGCATTTGTTTTAGTTATATCATTTAGTACAGGAATTATTGTGTACATACGATTATATTACATTGTATCTTTTCGTCTTTTTTTTATCTCTTACCCCAACACCCCACAACCTCTATCCACCCCAACCTCCCCCCTAACCCCCTCATCCACCCACTCCCACAACCCCTCCCCTCCCCATCCACCCCCTCCCCATCCACCCCCACAACTTACATTCGCACCGCGGCTGAGTGCCAGACCAGATTCCATGCTGGCTGCACTCCCTCGTCGCCTCGCCCACCAGCGTTCGGCCCACCTCGCACGAGTAGGTGGCGGTCGAGCCAACCTTGCGGTCGCCCTCCTCCACGCTCAGGGACTCCGTCAGGTCCTTGGCCAAGGGTGAGCACATCACCTCTGTTTTGAGGAGGAAGAAGGAGAGGAGTTGGTTCGATTAGTGTCGTATTTTTGAGACTCGTTATGTACTTTTTTGTTGTTGGTATCATATGATTGGGTATTTATTTAGTTTTTAAAAGATTTACTATTTAACGTTGTATATATTTTTTTTCTCGGTATCACATACGATTCGATGCAGACTTTATTTTGGGAAAATCGTGCAAGTGGGTCTTGTATTTAGTAAAAAATCTAGTCGTTACAAAAGAAATCATGCGTAGCTACAATATAGAAGCGATATAGAATATTCAGTTGTACAAAGATATATAGTTATGTGCACAAACACATCCATAGCATGTTATTACCGTCAAAATACCACACAACACACTCACGCATCAAAAAAACAACAACACAGACATCTCTCACAGCAAGTAACACCTACCCATCACACGCCATACACACGCCCACCCATCCAACCCGCCCACACACCCACTCCAAATCCTCACCGATGCACTTAGGCGTCTCTCCCGCCCACGTCCCATTCTCCTGGCAGAAGCGACGAAGGCGACCATCCAGCTTCCAGTTCTCGGGACACTCGTAGGCTACCTGGGCTGTGTAGAAAGTCTCATTGCTCAGGAGGCGCCAAGTACCGTGTTCTATGTTCTCGGGCTGTCCGCAATCCACGACTGAAGGAAGGAGCTTGGAATTAGTTCTGGTGTATATTGTAACGACTTTTCAAGGGTATTTAATGGTGTTTAAGGGTGTTCTGAGGTAATTAAGGGTGCTGGATGGTATTTATGGGTATGTAATGGTGTTTAAAGGTGTTTAATTGTATTTAAGGGTATTCAGTGGTATCATTAAATTTCAGTGACTGTTAAACTAAAACAAAACAGTTACGTAGGCAAAACCCAAACTTAAACCCAAACGTTAAATGTCAATCAACTTACATAATAAAATCCAAAATCGTATAACACCCACACACACATACACACCCACACACACACACACACACATATATATATATTTATATATACACACATTTACATTTACATTTATATCTGCATCTGCATTTGCATTTGCATTTACATTTACACACACACACACAAAGAAAACGACTAAAAAAGGTAAACCGACTCACATTTACAAGTCGGCGGTTCGTTGGTCCAATTCCCACTGAGGGAGCAGGTCCTCATACTCCCGCCCTCGACCACATACCCTCGCTCGCACCGGTATGTCACCACGCTGCCGACTCTGTTATGTGGAAGGTTTCATTAACGATTAATTATAAGCAATTCGCGGTGTGGGAGATCCGTGATTCCAAAACGAAGTGATACAACGGAATTAGGAAACCGAGAGCATTTTGAACGGACCGCAAAATCTATTCAAAACATAACGTCCTAACAATTTAAAAAAAACTGCCCAAAAATCCACGTCTTCCCCACCTGTACGTATACGGGGCCGCTGGCTGAGGGTCCCTCCGGCGCGCCACCGTCGACGACATCCGGCGGTCGTTCCCTGTGATGGTGTGGCGAGTCTGGGCCGGATGCTCGGGCTCGCTGCACCGGATCTCTGAAGTTTCCGGGTAGAAATGTTAAATGTATGTGTAAAGAGCTTATATGCGAGGACAAATATATCTTAAATTATAAATAAAAGAATAAATGATGTTTAAGGGTTGAAGGTTAAGGTGAGTGTTCAGATTCGCTGCACCGGATCTCTGAAGTTTCCGGGTAGAAATGTTGAATAGATGTGTAAATAGCTTTTATGGAAGTGCAAGTAAATCTTAAATCATAAATAAAAGCATAAATGATGTTGAAGAATTGAAGGTTAAAGGTGAGTGTTCAGACCCGCTGCACCGGATCTCTGAAATGAGCATATATAAATCTTATAGTTATCTAAATATTGTGTATTTAGAAGTAAATCAATATGAGATAAGTTATAAATATATATCTAAGAGTTAGATAAGTTATAAATCACTATATAACTGTTGCATTAAAGGTTAAAATGGTGATGGTGTGGCGAGTGAGGGCCGGGTGTTCGAACTGCTGCTCCGGATCTCTGACGTTACCTTCTCAAATAAATACGAAAATTGCGAATGGAAGATAAAGCAAAGAAGGAGCAGGAGAGAGAGAGAGAAAAAAGAAAATCCTTAATGTATTCCCGAAACGCCCCCCCAACCCCCTCCTTATAAAACCTAAAAATTTCCCGAAACACCTCTCCCCCCCACGGCCCCTTATAAAACCTAAAAAAATGTCCACTTTTCGGGAACCCCTTACCCTCACACTTAGGCGCCTCTCCGCTCCACCGAAAGTCCCTCTCGCACACTCTATGTCCGTCCCCAATCAGCTTGTAGTTCTGGTTGCAGGTGTAGGTCAGCTGACTGCCCAGGTAGGTCGACTCGTTCAGGTAAAACACTTCCCCACGAGTCATGGGAGGTACTCGACCGCAATCGACGTCTGGGGAAGAGGAAGGAGAGGTGAGTAAAGTGAGTCGATGGGAAAGGTGGATAAAAAAATAGTAGCAGACGAAACATTTGAAAAAAAAAATTAAATGTAAACATAACTACAAAACGATATGGATATTCCAGAATAAAAAAACAAAAACAAAAACAAAATTCAGAAACAAACAAACGGAATCAAACTCACCCAAAGAAGAAAAAAAAAAACGTCAAACAAACAACCCCTTCCATCATCACCCTAGTCATTCCCCCCCCGCCTCAAATATTGATAAATAAATAAACAAATAAATAAATAAATAAATAAACAGCTGATACTCACACGTGCAGGTCGGGGCCGCGCCGCTCCACTCGCCACTCCGCAGACAGACCCGGATGGCGTCGCCCGTGAGGAAGTGCCCCGTCTCG